AGTCATTAATACAGTTATAATCTGTCATTAATAGAGTTATAATCTGTCGTTATAATCTGTCATTAATAGTTATAATCTGTAATTATAATCTGTCATTAATACAGTTATAATCTGTAGTTATAATCTGTCATTAATACAGTTATAATCTGTCATTAATAGTTATAATCTGTAATTATAATCTGTCATTAATACAGTTATAATCTGTAATTATAATCTGTCATTAATACAGTTATAATCTGTCATTAATACAGTTATAATCTGTAATTATAATCCGTCGTTAATACAGTTATAATCTGTCATTAATACAGTTATAATCCGTCGTTAATACAGTTATAATCTGTCATTAATACAGTTATAATCTGTCATTATAATCTGTCATTAATACAGTTATAATCTGTCATTATAATCTGTCGTTAATACAGTTATAATCCGTCGTTAATACAGTTATAATCTGTCGTTAATACAGTTATAATCTGTCATAATATGTCATTAATACAGTTATAATCTGTCGTTATAATCTGTCATTAATACAGTTATAATCTGTAATTATAATCTGTCATTAATACAGTTATAATACAGTTATAATCTGTCGTTAATACAGTTATAATCTGTCATTAATAGTTATAATCCGTCGTTAATACAGTTATAATCTGTAATTATAATCTGTCATTAATACAGTTATAATCTGTAATTAATACAGTTATAATCTGTAATTATAATCTGTCGTTAATACAGTTATAATCTGTCATTAATACAGTTATAATCTGTCATTAATACAGTTATAATCTGTAATTATAATCTGTCGTTGATACAGTTATAATCTGTCATTAATACAGTTATAATCTGTCATTAATACAGTTATAATCTGTAATTATAATCTGTCGTTAATACAGTTATAATCTGTCATTAATACAGTTATAATCTGTCATTAATACAGTTATAATCTGTAATTATAATCTGTCGTTAATACAGTTATAATCCTTCGTTAATACAGTTATAATCTGTCATTAATACAGTTATAATCTGTAATTATAATCTGTCATTAATACAGTTATAATCTGTAATTATAATCTGTCGTTAATACAGTTATAATCCTTCGTTAATACAGTTATAATCTGTCATTAATACAGTTATAATCCGTCGTTATAATCTGTCATTAATACAGTTATAATCTGTCGTTAATACAGTTATAATCTGTCATTAATACAGTTATAATCTGTCATTAATACAGTTATAATCTGTAATTATAATCTGTCGTTAATACAGTTATAATCCTTCGTTAATACAGTTATAATCTGTCATTAATACAGTTATAATCTGTAATTATAATCTGTCATTAATACAGTTATAATCTGTAATTATAATCTGTCGTTAATACAGTTATAATCCTTCGTTAATACAGTTATAATCTGTCATTAATACAGTTATAATCCGTCGTTATAATCTGTCATTAATACAGTTATAATCTGTCGTTAATACAGTTATAATCTGTCATTAATACAGTTATAATCTGTAATTATAATCTGTCGTTAATACAGTTATAATCTGTCATTAATACAGTTATAATCTGTCATTAATACAGTTATAATCTGTAATTATAATCTGTCGTTAATAGTTATAATCCTTCGTTAATACAGTTATAATCTGTCATTAATACAGTTATAATCCGTCGTTAATACAGTTATAATCCGTCGTTAATACAGTTATAATCCGTCATTAATACAGTTATAATCTGTAATTATAATCTGTCATTAATACAGTTATAATCCGTCGTTAATACAGTTATAATCCGTCGTTAATACAGTTATAATCCGTCATTAATACAGTTATAATCTGTAATTATAATCTGTCATTAATACAGTTATAATCCGTCGTTAATACAGTTATAATCTGTCATAAATGAATTCATACTGAATCTTATTTAACGGTAGTGATGCCGTGTGATTGGCTGAAAGTGATGTCACTCACCCTGCTGATAGGCTGAGATGTGAGGATGGGGGCTTCTGATTGGACAGAGCATCAGGGCGGGGCTACGGGCCTGCTCCAGGTACACAGCCACCTGGGGGGGAGGGGGAGCATTACTATGTGTACTGTCAGGGTGTGTACAGTGTGTATAGCAGGGCTATTCAATTGGCGGCCCGCGGGCCAAATCCGGCCCCGGGGTGATATTTACTGGCCCTTTGAGTATAATGTTAAAAAGTAATAATAAAAAAAAATGTTAAGATTTTTTTTTTTTGTGCCATAGTGCCTTTATTCCAGAGAGGGTGTTACATTGAGAGATAGAGGGGTAAACAATGCCTGAAAACTTCGACGGGCTCGGGTTTCGAACCCACCTACTATACTGTAGTGACAACTTCTGTCATTGATTGCATCTCTGCGTGAATGATTAGATCATTTCACCTAAATGAAATCAAATGAAACATGTAGGCCTACTGAGTTCTGAACTTGCCATTTAGATCTAGAAAGGCCTTGGGGCTATGTTGTTTGATTGAATTAAACACAATATATGCACTCCACTATGCTGTTGTAGTATTTACTGTATCTGAAGCTCTTAATATGATCGCTCATATTTCAAGCCATCTTTTTCCCGGCCCCTTGCTTTGGATCATTTTCATCAACCGGCCCCATTCCAAACTAATTGAATAGCCCTGGTGTACAGTGTGCATACAGTGTGTGTGTGTGTGTGTGTGTGTGTGTGTGTGTGTGTGTGTGTGTGTGTACAGTGTGTGTACAGTGTGCATACAGTGTGTGTGTGTGTGTGTACAGTGTGCATACAGTGTGTGTGTGTGTGTGTGTGTGTGTGTGTGTACAGTGTGTGTACAGTGTGTAGTACAGTGTTTACCTGCTGCCTGCAGGTGTGGCTGTGGCTGAACACAGCGAGCTCTCTGATTGGCTGCTGGCTCTCACTGAAGGAAATGGTCATCAGTACCAGGAAGTCAAAGCCAAACTTCAAACAGAAGGCAGAAAGCTCCGCCTCCAACTCCGCCCCCTGCAGGAAGTCCTGTCACAAAGAGATGATGTCACTGAGAGCTGATTGGCCACCTGTGCTGTGTGTAGACAGTGTGTAGTATGTGTGTACCTGCAGGATGATGTACAGCAGGGGTTCCCAACCTTTATTGTGCCAAGGACCGGCAGATACATTAAAAAACATTCGCGGACCGGTTGTCAATTTGAACTGATTTTAATATTTACTCACCAGCAGGTGGCAACAGAGGCTAATTGTATGTAACAGCCTGAACATCCAAAACATATTAACAAAGTTTAAAACCAGGATACAATTAAAACAAAAAATTAGGACCACTGTACACATATTGATATAACTGAAATGTCAGGGAGACCCCTGGCTTGTTTGCCAGCCATAATAACGTCATACCGGGGCGTGATGGTTGACAATGAAATGCGCAGGGTATTCCTCACGTCCAGTTTGCTTCTAAGTCTGGTCTTAGTGGCCGTCATGGCAGAAAAACCTAGCTACTGGATGCTAGCTACTGGATGCAAGCTACTGGATGCTAGCTACTGGATGCTAGCTACTGGATGCTAGCTACTGGATGCTAGCTACTGGATGCGAGCTACTGGATGCGAGCTACTGGATGCGAGCTACTAGCTACTAGCTACTGGATGCTAGCTACTGGATGCTAGCTACTGGATGCGAGCTACTGGATGCGAGCTACTGGATGCTAGCTACTAGCTACTAGCTACTGGATGCTAGCTACTGGATGCGAGCTACTGGATGCGAGCTACTGGATGCGAGCTACTGGATGCTAGCTACTAGCTACTAGCTACTGGATGGAATAATATGACTGGTATAGGTGCAAAAAATATTATGATAAAATATTTGTATATATTTATAATTCTGCAAATATTACAATAAATTCACAGCTATTTTGCGGCCTGGCAGGGAACACCTCCTCGGACCGGGGGTTGGGAACGCCTGGTATAGAGGACAGTGTGTAGTACAGTGTGTAGGACAGTGTGTAGGACAGTGTGTAGTACAGTGTGTAGTACAGTGTGTAGTACAGTGTGTAGGACAGTGTGTAGTACAGTGTGTAGGACAGTGTGTAGTACAGTGTGTAGGACAGTGTGTAGTACAGTGTGTAGTACAGTGTGTAGGACAGTGTGTAGGACAGTGTGTAGTACAGTGTGTAGGACAGTGTGTAGTACAGTGTGTAGTACAGTGTGTAGGAAAGTGTGTAGTACAGTGTGTAGGACAGTGTGTAGTACAGTGTGTAGTACAGTGTGTAGGACAGTGTGTAGTACAGTGTGTAGGACAGTGTGTAGTACAGTGTGTAGTACAGTGTGTAGTACAGTGTGTAGGACAGTGTGTAGTACAGTGTGTAGTACAGTGTGTAGGACAGTGTGTAGAACAGTGTGTAGTACAGTGTGTAGTACAGTGTGTAGGACAGTGTGTAGTACATTGTGTAGTACAGTGTGTAGTACAGTGTGTACCTGCAGGGTGATGTAGAGGACAGAGATCGCCACGTTGAGACTTCCTGTAACAGCTTTCATATCTTTCATCAGCATCTGCTCCGTGCTCAGACCTGAGGACAGTACTGCGTTACTACTGTAGTACTACTAAGTACTAATACTGCACAATACTACTGCACAGTACTACTACTGAACAATACTACTGCACAGTACTACTACTGCACAATACTACTACTGAACAATACTACTACTGCACAATACTACTGCACAGTACTACTACTGCACAATACTACTACTGCACAGTACTACTGCACAGTACTACTACTGCACAATACTACTACAAAATACTGCAATAAATTTAACTTTGCAATAGGTAATACTTAATGCTGAATGAAATACTTCAGTAGATATTATACAATACTGCAATACTTATTATTAAATACTCAAATAAACTCTATAAAAAACTAAACACTAATAAACCAGTCACCACGCTGCTTTTTATTCTAATATTACTCCTTTAAAGTACTGTGATAAAAACAGTACACCTGTACTACACCTGTACTACACCTGTACTACTCTGGGGCAGAGGCAGGAAGCCCATAAGGAAGTGCCACAAGCTGCAGGTCATCTATTGGCCGATAGGGGATGGCTGCAGAAAGGAGCAGTCTCCATAGACCCCAATGTTAAAATGCCAAACTTTACAGCAGAAATAAACACGTTTCTACCCCCGGATGCAATACAAATTATTCTGGATATATTTAGATTCCACCTTCATGACAATGGATTGGGGAGTGAATTATTTTATAACGCACCCCTTTTAGTTATATTAGGTTTAAAATGTTTGCATACATTAGGGCGTGGTCACCTTGAGTGGCAGGTCTCTGCGGTGACTGCTGCTTCTAGCTTTCTGTCCCTCTGCTAGCTCCGTTAGCTCTGTTAGCTCCAGGATGCTACAGGGGCTCGGCTGCGAGGCTGATCCGGGGAACACAACTTGAACTCGAACGTGTTTGTTGTGTTGGTGCCTGGTGGAGCATTCTTCATTTAAATATCAGACTTATCTTACGCCGCCTCGGCTCCGCCTCTTTGCCCTTATTTGGATTAGACTCTGACTTCACTGTCGAGCCGTTAGTGGCCGACTCCGCCTACTAAGGGCTTCTCAGCAACTCTGCAGAATCCTATGGGTGACGTCACGGACACTACGTCCATTTATATATACAGTCTATGGTGTGAGTCAGGTGTGAGTCAGGTGTGAGTCAGGTGTGAGTCAGGTGTGTGTCAGGTGTGAGTCAGGTGTGAGTCAGGTGTGAGTCAGGTGTGAGTCAGGTGTGAGTCAGGTGTGAGTCAGGTGTGAGTCAGGTGTGTGTCAGGTGTGAGTCAGGTGTGAGTCAGGTGTGAGTCAGGTGTGTGTCAGGTGTGAGTCAGGTGTGAGTCAGGTGTGAGTCAGGTGTGTGTCAGGTGTGTGTCAGGTGTGAGTCAGGTGTGAGTCAGGTGTGTGTCAGGTGTGTGTCAGGTGTGTGTCAGGTGTGAGTCAGGTGTGAGTCAGGTGTGTGTCAGGTGTGTGTCAGGTGTGTGTCAGGTGTGAGTCAGGTGTGAGTCAGGGTGTGAGTCAGGTGTGGTGTCAGGTGTGAGTCAGGTGTGTGGTCAGGTGTGTGTCAGGTGTGAGTCAGGTGTGTGTCAGGTGTGTGTCAGGTGTGAGTCAGGTGTGAGTCAGGTGTGTGTCAGGTGTGTGTCAGGTGTGAGTCAGGTGTGAGTCAGGTGTGAGTCAGGTGTGAGCCAGGTGTGAGTCAGGTGTGAGTCAGGTGTGTGTCAGGTGTGAGTCAGGTGTGTGTCAGGTGTGAGTCAGGTGTGTGTCAGGTGTGTGTCAGGTGTGAGTCAGGTGTGAGTCAGGTGTGAGTCAGGTGTGAGTCAGGTGTGAGTCAGGTGTGAGCCAGGTGTGAGTCAGGTGTGAGTCAGGTGTGTGTCAGGTGTGAGTCAGGTGTGTGTCAGGTGTGAGTCAGGTGTGAGTCAGGTGTGAGTCAGGTGTGAGTCAGGTGTGAGTCAGGTGTGAGTCAGGTGTGAGTCAGGTGTGAGTCAGGTGTGTGTCAGGTGTGAGTCAGGTGTGTGCCAGGTGTGTGCCAGGTGTGTGTTCTGACCTGAGACACTGAACTTGGCGTCCTGCAGCCTCTGGAACAGATCCTCTCTCTGAGGCAGATCAGGGAAACGCAGCTGCAGCTCAGCAAACACTGCAGAGTCCTGGGGGGTCACCTTACCTGAGGAGGGACACACACACACACACCTGGGGGGTCACCTTACCTGAGCAGGGTATATGCAGGAATCCTGATGTCAAATGTAAGACCTTTTAAGACCTTTCTTAAGACCCTTTCCATACATTTTAAGACCTCATCTCCACTTGGAGTTTTAACCGGTTACCTTGGCGACACACTTTACCTCACATTGACTATATTCAGTATTGATTGTCCTTCCTCCTTATCTTCCAACCATTTGGACGCAGACTTGCATTTCCCCATAACGATGTTTAACAACCGGCGTAAACGGAGCTTCGCGCGCTATCAAGCAGTGAGCGTGCGAGGTCCTGTTCAAATGACGTCAAATCCAACGGGATGCCATAAATAAACTACACAGAATCACACTACACACCTACGCAATGATTACATTCAGGCACACTGTAGAATACAACCTCTTTGGACAATTCATATACTTATTGAAAACAAGCTACAGAATGCCCTTTAATACTTTTTTAATAGCCTTCATTTACGCTAAATTTATTTATCACTTTAAACACTTGGGGGGTCACCTTACCTGAGGAGGGACACACACACACCTGGGGGGTCCCCTTACCTGAGGAGGGACACACACACACCTGGGGGGTCCCCTTACCTGAGGAGGGACACACACACACAAACCTGGGGGGTCCCCTTACCTGAGGACACACACACACACACACACACACACACACACACACACACACACACACACACACACACACACACACACACACACACACACACACACACACACACACACACACACACACACACACACACACACACACACACACACACACACACACACACACACACACACACACACACACCTTACCTGCAGAGGGAGACATGTTCACACAGTCCAGCAGCACTGCAGCTACACACACACAGAGAGACACACACAATATTACATTATATGTATACACATTAACATAATAACACACAACTGAGGATGCTTCAGGTGTTCAGGTGATGTGTTCAGGTGATGTGTTCAGGGGATGTGTTCAGGTGATGTGTTCAGGTGATGTGTTCAGGTGATGTGTTCAGGTGATGTGTTCAGGGGATGTGTTCAGGTGATGTGTTCAGGGGATGTGTTCAGGTGTTCAGGGGATGTGTTCAGGTGATGTGTTCAGGTGATGTGTTCAGGTGATGTGTTCAGGTGATGTGTTCAGGGGATGTGTTCAGGTGTTCAGGTGATGTGTTCAGGTGATGTGTTCAGGTGTTCAGGTGATGTGTTCAGGGGATGTGTTCAGGTGTTCAGGTGATGTGTTCAGGTGATGTGTTCAGGTGATGTGTTCAGATGATGTGTTCAGGTGTTCAGGTGATGTGTTCAGGTGATGTGTTCAGGTGATGTGTTCAGGTGATGTGTTCAGATGATGTGTTCAGGTGATGTGTTCAGGTGATGTGTTCAGGTGTTCAGGTGATGTGTTCAGGTTATGTGTTCAGGTGATGTGTTCAGGTTATGTGTTCAGGTGATGTGTTTCAGGTGTTCAGGTGATGTGTTCAGGTGATGTGTTCAGGGGATGTGTTCAGGGGATGTGTTCAGGTGATGTGTTCAGATGATGTGTTCAGGTGATGTGTTCAGGTGTTCAGGGGATGTGTTCAGGTGATGTGTTCAGGTGATGTGTTAAGATGATGTGTTCAGGTGTTCAGGGGATGTGTTCAGGTGATGTGTTCAGGTGACGTGTTCAGGTGATGTGTTCAGGGGATGTGTTCAGGGTGTTCAGGGGATGTGTTCAGGTGATGTGTTCAGGTGATGTGTTCAGGTGATGTGTTCAGGGGATGTGTTCAGGGGATGTGTTCAGGTGATGTGTTCAGGTGATGTGTTCAGGTGATGTGTTCAGGTGATGTGTTCAGGTGTTCAGGTGATGTGTTCAGGTGATGTGTTCAGGTGTTCAGGTGATGTGTTCAGGTGTTCAGGTGACGTGTTCAGGTGACGTGTTCAGGTGATGTGTTCAGGTGATGTGTTCAGGTGATGTGTTCAGGTGATGTGTTCAGGTGATGTGTTCAGGTGATGTGTTCAGGTGTTCAGGTGATGTGTTCAGGTGATGTGTTCAGGTGTTCAGGTGATGTGTTCAGGTGATGTGTTCAGGTGTTCAGGTGACGTGTTCAGGTGATGTGTTCAGGTGTTCAGGTGACGTGTTCAGGTGATGTGTTCAGGTATTCAGGTGACGTGTTCAGGTGATGTGTTCAGGTGATGTGTTCAGGTGATGTGTTCAGGTGATGTGTTCAGGTGTTCAGGTGATGTGTTCAGGTGTTCAGGTGATGTGTTCAGGTGATGTGTTCAGGTGATGTGTTCAGGGTGATGTGTTCAGGGATGTGTTCAGGTGTTCAGGGGATGTGTTCAGGTGATGTGTTCAGGTGATGTGTTCAGGTGTTCAGGTGATGTGTTCAGGTGATGTGTTCAGGTGATGTGTTCAGGGGATGTGTTCAGGTGTTCAGGTGATGTGTTCAGGTGATGTGTTCAGGTGTTCAGGTGATGTGTTCAGGTGATGTGTTCAGGTGATGTGTTCAGGTGTTCAGGTGATGTGTTCAGGTGATGTGTTCAGGTGTTCAGGTGATGTGTTCAGGTGATGTGTTCAGGTGATGTGTTCAGGGGATGTGTTCAGGTGTTCAGGTGATGTGTTCAGGTGATGTGTTCAGGTGATGTGTTCAGGTGATGTGTTCAGGTGTTCAGGTGATGTGTTCAGGTGATGTGTTCAGGTGATGTGTTCAGGTGATGTGTTCAGGGGATGTGTTCAGGTGTTCAGGTGATGTGTTCAGGTGATGTGTTCAGGTGTTCAGGTGACGTGTTCAGGTGACGTGTTCAGGTGACGTGTTCAGGTGATGTGTTCAGGTGTTCAGGTGATGTGTTCAGGTGATGTGTTCAGGTGTTCAGGTGATGTGTTCAGGTGATGTGTTCAGGTGATGTGTTCAGGGGATGTGTTCAGGTGATGTGTTCAGGTGATGTGTTCAGGTGATGTGTTCAGGTGATGTGTTCAGGTGTTCAGGTGTTCAGGTGATGTGTTCAGGTGATGTGTTCAGGTGATGTGTTCAGGTGATGTGTTCAGATGATGTGTTCAGGTGATGTGTTCAGGTGATGTGTTCAGGTGATGTGTTCAGGTGTTCAGGTTATGTGTTCAGGTGATGTGTTCAGGTTGTGTTCAGATGATGTGTTCAGGTGATGTGTTCAGGTGATGTGTTCAGGTGTTCAGGTTATGTGTTCAGGTGATGTGTTCAGGTTATGTGTTCAGGTGATGTGTTCAGGTGTTCAGGTGATGTGTTCAGGTGATGTGTTCAGGGGATGTGTTCAGGTGATGTGTTCAGGTGATGTGTTCAGATGATGTGTTCAGGTGATGTGTTCAGGGGATGTGTTCAGGTGTTCAGGGGATGTGTTCAGGTGATGTGTTCAGATGATGTGTTCAGGTGATGTGTTCAGATGATGTGTTCAGGTGTTCAGGGCATGTGTTCAGGTGATGTGTTCAGGTGACGTGTTCAGGTGATGTGTTCAGGGGATGTGTTCAGGTGTTCAGGGGATGTGTTCAGGTGATGTGTTCAGGTGTTCAGGTGATGTGTTCAGGTGATGTGTTCAGGTGATGTGTTCAGGGGATGTGTTCAGGTGATGTGTTCAGGTGTTCAGGTGATGTGTTCAGGTGTTCAGGTGATGTGTTCAGGTGATGTGTTCAGGGGATGTGTTCAGGTGATGCGTTCAGGTGATGTGTTCAGGTGATGTGTTCAGGGGATGTGTTCAGGTGTTCAGGGGATGTGTTCAGGTGATGTGTTCAGGTGATGTGTTCAGGTGATGTGTTCAGATGAGGTGTTCAGGTGACGTGTTCAGGTGATGTGTTCAGGTGATGTGTTCAGGTGATGTGTTCAGGTGTTCAGGTGAGGTGTTCAGGTTATGTGTTCAGGTTATGTGTTCAGGTGATGTGTTCAGGTGATGTGTTCAGGTGATGTGTTCAGGTGTTCAGGTGATGTGTTCAGGGGATGTGTTCAGGTGATGTGTTCAGGTGATGTGTTCAGGTGTTCAGGGGATGTGTTCAGGTGATGTGTTCAGGTGATGTGTTCAGGTGTTCAGGTGATGTGTTCAGGGGATGTGTTCAGGTGATGTGTTCAGGTGATGTGTTCAGGTGTTCAGGTTATGTGTTCAGGTTATGTGTTCAGGTGATGTGTTCAGGTGTTACCGTAGAGCATGTGAGCGACCTGGAGGTCCAGGATCTGTGGAGCTTCCTTGATGATGCGTTCAGTGACCAAGGTAGCGCAGGATCCCACTATTTCCACGGTAACGGGACAGGTAGGGGAGGGCCGTCTCTCCAGCCGGTGATGATCGATCACCTGAACCACCGCCCCTTCCAGGTCACTGTCTGAACTACACACACACGCACACGCACACGCACACAGTTTTAAGTGTTACCTCGGTTTCAGGTGTTGTTACGTGTGTTCAGGTGTTTCAGGTGTGTTCAGGTGTGTTTCAGGTGTGTTCCAGGTGTGTTACCTGGGCAGCACGTTGTGGTCCACCAGAGTGAGCCTCAGTCTCCCGGCCTGGTTCAGGTCCTGCAGGTCCAGCTGGTCTCTGAACAGCAGCAGGTCTGAGGACAGGTGCAGCTGCTGCAGCAGGAGGACACTGTCGGAGCGCAGAGGAAACTCCACCTGTCTGATGTTCAGCAGAGGAACCACCTGTCTGTCCTCACCTGAGGTCTGAGAGAGAGACAGGTACTGACACACCTGAGGTCTGAGAGAGAGACAGGTACTGACACACCTGAGGTCTGAGAGAGAGACAGGTACTGACACACCTGAGGTCTGAGAGAGAGACAGGTACTGACACACCTGAGGTCTGAGAGAGAGAGACAGGTACTGACACACCTGAGGTCTGAGAGAGAGACAGGTACTGACACACCTGAGGTCTGAGAGAGAGAGACAGGTACTGACACACCTGAGGTCTGAGAGAGAGAGACAGGTACTGACACACCTGAGGTCTGAGAGAGAGAGACAGGTACTGACACACCTGAGGTCTGAGAGAGAGAGACAGGTACTGACACACCTGAGGTCTGAGAGAGAGACAGGTACTGACACACCTGAGGTCTGAGAGAGACAGGTACTGACCAGTGGTTGGGCTAGACTTTTTCGTTGTCCGTCATTTTGACAGGATCGTACAATTTCCGTCATAATCCATTATTACTCGTAATTTTATTATTTTATTTATTCATGTAATAATATTAGCTGCTAATTGTAGCCACCAGAGTATCGCAGCTTCAGGTTTTGGCTATGCGTCACTCTCACTCCTTATTTGGTAACGTGTGTGTGTATGTGTGAAAAAGAAGATGAACAGAGACCGACCGTGCGGTCACTGTTCATGATTGATTTGTTCCTGCACTGACAGCACAGCAGGGGGGGGCAGAGGCACTGACAGCACAGCAGAGGGGGGCAGAGGCACTGACAGCACAGCAGGGGGGCAGAGGCACTGACAGCACAGCAGAGGGGGGGGCAGAGGCACTGACAGCACAGCAGAGGGGGGGCAGAGGCACTGACAGCACAGCAGAGGGGGGGCAGAGGCACTGACAGCACAGCAGAGGGGGGCAGAGGCACTGACAGCACAGCAGAGGGGGGGCAGAGGCACTGACAGCACAGCAGAGGGGGGCAGAGGCACTGACAGCACAGCAGGGGGGGCAGAGGCACTGACAGCACAGCAGAGGGGGGGCAGAGGCACTGACAGCACAGCAGAGGGGGGGCAGAGGCACTGACAGCACAGCAGAGGGGGGCAGAGGCACTGACAGCACAGCAGAGGGGGGGCAGAGGCACTGACAGCACAGCAGAGGGGGGCAGAGGCCACTCAAACACCGCCACCATTGGGCCTCAACAGGCAAATATGAACAATGCCATTGTTTGAAATGAGACAATTACAATTAAAATATGAACAAAACATTTACAAGAACAACTCAATTGACCTGCTGTAGCCTCGCCTGAGCTCAGACCTTCCTCCTGGGCCGCATGGATCTAAACTGGGTGCTCGCTTGTGCGTAGTCAAATGCATCAAGGGAGATTGCTGCAGAGGCGATGGCCATTAAGCGTTGTGTCTTTGCCTCGGACAGACGGCTTCTCATGTTGTTCTGAAGGCTGAACCCGCGCTCTGCTGCTACGCTGGAGACTGGAATTACCAGCGCCACTTCAGCCAACATTTTGTAGTCGGGAAACATTTCTCCCAGGGAAGTGATCAGAAGTCGGCAAGACTCTCTGAACGAGGGATTTCCCCATCCTGCAAGCACTCGCTTCACTGGGAGGAAACAGCATGCGCTCCTTTTGCACCAGTGGCGCAGCTGCATCCCTTTGTGACCCGTAGTGGTCTCAGACACGCTCCAAGGCCTCCAGTCCGTAGCTCTTTAGCGCGCTGTCAGCACCCGGATAGCGAGATGCATTGATCACGGTGTCGAGATCAGCGATGATGCCTGCATGCTCCGAAAGAAATCTTTTTTTGATGGATTTAGTAACCTCCGCGATGTAGTCTGTGCGCACACGTGAAAAGGTCTGAGCGTCTGCCTGGGGGAGCGTGATGCCACAGAACTTGCCGTCTTGTAAAGCCTCGTTAAATGTGGTCTCCGCCTCACCTGGCCCATTCATCAAGTCCTCGAGGCTGGCAAGGGTCATGTTCACGACGGGCTGGATGGAGGAGATGTTGACATCTTCTTTTGGGAAGGTGAGGTTCATGCGGTTCACCACGGCCAAGACGTCAGTCAGCAGGTGAGTCAAGGCAGGGAACATGAGCGTTTGGAGGCGCTTTCTAATCCCCTTAGCGACCGGACAGTCTTTGTCAGCTTCCTCCTCCTGCAACTCCAACACCAGAGCAACCCAGTTGGCACGTATGCCCTTAACTGCCCTCTCCAGCGACAGCCAGCGTGTAGCTGATGGTTGTTTTAGGCTCAGCAGGTCGTGCTCCTGCATTTCCTTTTGGAGTTCATTTAGTCGGTGTGTTCGAATGGGGGAATTCTTGTAGTAAGTGTATATGTTATTAATAGTCGTAACATATGCACTTATTTCACGCACAGCCTTGGAGGCATCGCGCGCAGCCAGTGCCGTTCTGTGCGCACCACAGTGAATGTTTACGAGGTAGGGACAGTCGTTCAGAAGCATCTTTTGTGCAACTCCGGCCTTTCGACCCACCATCACATTCGCTCCATCACTTCCCAGCCCGACGACCCGAGCCACAGCGACACCACGGCCCCCTTTGTGCTGAAGTGTCAGGTCTGTGATCAGCATTTTCTCAACCGTGATATCAGTCTTCTCATCTACTATTACCCCGACGTATTTACTAGGGATGTAGCGATACCCAAAACTCACGGTATGATAATATCGCAATAAAAAGTCCATGGTACGATATTTATCGCGATATTGAAAAATAAAGAAGAAAAATAATTGTGAATTTTTTTTTTTTTTTTTTTACTTGAATTTTTTTTTCTTTATTGAATAATAAATCTGATTTGTTCTGCATTTTAGTAGGATAGTAGTATTTTAAAGTGTCAACAATATAATAATCAGACCCTGCAATAAAATAAATCAAGTTTCACTTTAGTTTTTCAAGTAGCTCAACTCAAACTCACTAAGTCACTCACTAAGTCACTCACTAAGTCACTCAGTCACTCACTAAGTCACTCACTAAGTCACTAAGTCACTCACTAAGTCACTCACTAAGTCACTCACTAACTCACTCACTAAGTCACTCACTCAGTCACTCACTAAGTCACTCACTAAGTCACTCACTCAGTCACTCACTAAGTCACTCACTAAGTCACTAAGTCACTCACTAAGTCACTCACTAAGTCACTAAGTCACTCACTAAGTCACTCAGTCACTCACTAAGTCACTCACTAAGTCACTAAGTCACTCACTAAGTCACTAAGTCACTCACTAAGTCACTCACTAAGTCACTAAGTCACTCACTAAGTCACTCACTAAGTCACTCAGTCACTCACTAAGTCACTCACTAAGTCACTAAGTCACTCACTAAGTCACTAAGTCACTCACTAAGTCACTCACTAACTCACTCACTAAGTCACTCACTAAGTCACTCACTCAGTCACTCACTAAGTCACTCACTAAGTCACTCACTAAGTCACTCACTAAGTCACTAAGTCACTCACTAAGTCACTCACTAAGTCACTCACTAACTCACTCACTAAGTCACTCACTCAGTCACTCACTAAGTCACTAAGTCACTCACTAAGTCACTCACTAAGTCACTCACTAAGTCACTCACTCAGTCACTCACTCAGTCACTCACTCAGCTTCATCAGACAGGTTGTTAGGAATATGAGCATGCTCACATTTCCAGGTAGAAGCTGGGATGTTCAGGCGTTTACAAAACCCCCTGCTGTGGAAAGAACTCTCTCTCTTGGTACTGATGTTGCTGGGACAGAGAGAGATGCTTTGTCCATGGGTGCCAGCAGTGGGTCAAACTGTGCATTGTCTCTCCACCACTTCAAAAACAATACAGTTGTTGCCAAGCAGGTGAGGCTCATTGACAGGGCGAGATATACTATACTGTTGGTACTTGTCAATGTCTCTAGGTATGTACATGTAGCCCTGGAAATACATGTCCTTTCGTGTTATCTGTTGTTTTATGTTCATGTAACCTACTTGCTGCCATGTTGGACAGGTCTCTCTTGAGAAAGAGATCGATGATCTCAACGGGATAGTGTTGTCACGATACCAACATTTTGGTTTCGATACCGAGTCAAGAATTGCGATTCCGATTCTTTTCTTTTATTATTTTCATGATCAATAAAATTGTAGTTTATCTGTTAAGTGTTTTCTTCCAACATGGTCTCTTCTTTATACTTGAGTTTATGTGATTTCTTTGATAGTTAACTTTATATTTTATTAACATGTAATAGTACAGTAATATAAATAATGATTGACTAAATGTACATTGCAGATGTTAGCCACATTGGTAAGTTAGCTAAACAGATAGCCACATTGGTAAGTTAGCTAAACAGATAGCCACATTGGTAAGTTAGCTAAACAGATAGCCACATTGGTAAGTTAGCTAAACAGATAGCCACATTGGTAAGTTAGCTAAACAGATAGCCACATTGGTAAGTTAGCTAAACAGATAGCCACATTGGTAAGTTAGCTAAACAGATAGCCACATTGGTAAGTTAGCTAAACAGATAGCCACATTGGTAAGTTAGCTAAACAGATAGCCACATTGGTAAGTTAGCTACACAGATAGCCACATTGGTAAGTTAGCTAAACAGATAGCCACATTGGTAAGTTAGCTACACAGATAGCCACATTGGTAAGTCAGCTAAACAGATAGCCACATTGGTAAGTTAGCTACACAGATAGCCACATTGGTAAGTTAGCTACACAGATAGCCACATTGGTAAGTCAGCTAAACAGATAGCCACATTGGTAAGTTAGCTACACAGATAGCCATATTAGACAGTTATCATTGCCATTCATTGCCTCGTCAAACTACCAAAACGTTCGTTTGTCACAAAATAAATGACTCTTGTTTGACTTAGATTTGAGGGCATGGGCTCGAGCATGATGTAATTATGTTATTTATCACATTCGCTAACCTGTCTGTCTTTACATTCTTTACACAGCTCTGGATGCCGGTCGGCGGGGTGCTTAGCCAAGTCTGATGTGTTGGCTCCTGTTCTGTCCTTGATGTGTGTTTTTGGTGTATATCTGTCGTATAT